AACCTCTAGGTTTGAAATTGTTAATTTAAAAACTTTAATTGTGAGTCCAAATGAAAAGTTTAAACATTTGAGACGCTAAACAATTACCTTTCAATGTAACAAAAAATAAAAATAAAAAAATCAATTTCCTATTTGTAAGGACAGGGCCGAGGTGCCAAACCTTGGACTGCTACAGTAATTTCTTTATGACCGAAGTGAGGAATGAATCCGAAGCTTCCCGCTCAAATAGCTGCATGATAATGACAATAAGCATGCTCGCACCTGATTCCTTATGATGAGCGGCACAGCAGGAACGGTGGACACTCGTGCATCTGAATACCTCTCAAATTCCCGGTCCCGGAATAATCGTTTGATAGACACGTCAGGTTCCGACTATCTTGCTTGGCATGCCACGTGGGTTCCTCATCGAATCCTATAAATACCCCCTCCGGGCCACGTAAAAAGGTAATTGAAACCTACCCTAAGCTCCTTTTATCTCCACTTTAGAGGTAACCCCGATTATTGCTGACTTAAGCATCGGAGTGTCTACCCCGAGGTCCACCTCGGGGCTTTGCAGGTCATTCCGAAGTGCAGTTGCGGATTGTAGAAGGACTTCTGGTTCGTTGCAATTACATTGGCGCCGTCTGTGGGAATCGAATTGAAAGCTTTCTAGTTGCTCTTCCATCATGGTCCACACTCGATCAGTCAGACCTGGTAATTCATCTCTGCCTCATGGGCAGGGTCAACCCCCCAACAACCTTCCACCTCTGATCCCAACTCAGCTTCCACCTCAGCTTCCACCTCAGCTTCCACCTCAGGTCCCAGTTATTTTCCCTCCTGTTGATCATGCAGAAGGAGGAGATGAAAATCAACCTCATGCCTCAGCTCATAATTCAACTTCCACTGCCAATCAAGACGTAGTGACAGCTCAGCTTGCTGCCATGCAGCAGCAGTTTGGTGTTTTTCAGTTGGTACTGGCTTAGCTTTTGGCTAGAAATAATCCTGGTGATCCCCTCATTAATTTACTAAACCCTACCCAACAACCCCCAGCTCCACAACAGAATCCTCAACCGGTTCAACCTGCTCCTGCTATTAGCGAGTCTCAGGCTCAATCCCATATTGCACCCGCTCAACAACCTATCCCTGATGATGTTACTCGCCGCCTCGATAGCCTGGAAAAGCTAGTAGCTGAACACCGAGGTGATCCACCCCCACACCATGCTGCTGATTCTATACCTCACCCATTGAATACCAACATCACACTGGAACCCTATCCTTCTGGCTTCAAGATACCACAACTGGAGACTTATGACGGGACGAAGGATCCCGATGACCATCTGCATGCTTTCAACTCCTGCATGCAAGCTCAGAACGCCTCTGACGCGTTGATGTGCAAGATCTTCCCCTCTACTTTCCGAGGTAACGCCCGAACTTGGTATTACAGTTTACCTCCGAGGTCAATTAGCTCGTATACAGAAATGGCATCTGCCTTTGCCACTAAGTTTTCTAGTAGAAGGTTGATTAGGAAAACTACTTCTGAGTTGATGCGAGTTAAACAGAGGGATGGAGAATCTCTGAAGAACTATATGAGCAGGTTTAATGATGCAGTCTTGGAGGTTAGTTCTTTTGATCAAGCCGTGGGAATAGCAGCTGTGATTGCTGGTCTCAAGCATGACAGATTCAGAGACAGTTTGATCAAACATGCCGCCACCACCTTTAGCGAGGTGAATGATCGGTCTCTCAAGTTTATAACCGTTGAGGAGTATGCCCTGGCGCAAAATCAACCCCCCTCTAAGAACCAGAACCCAGAATGGAGAGACGACAATCCGAGCCGAAAAAGGATGAGGATGGCGCAGAACCGAGGTCTGATATTGACCTTCCCACCGAGATTCGGAAGGCCGAACTCAACACCCCAGCAACAGTCTGCAGGTAAACCTCCAGTTAATTGGACTCCCTTTAATCTGCCGAGGTCACAAATTTTTATGCAGATTAAGAACAAAATGGATTTGAGACGTCCTAGCCCAATGCGAACTGCTGCTGCTAGTCGAGACCACACTAAATATTGTGATTTTCATCAAGATCACGGCCATACTACAGAGCAGTGCAATAGCTTAAAGTTCGAACTGGAAAGTTTAGCTCAGAAGGGAATGCTGAATGAGTATGTTCAGAGAGCTGAACAGCCAAGATTTGTTAGAGAGTAGAGGCCGCATCCTCAAGGCGTCCGCAATCCCCCAAATAGACAAGGTGTGGGATATCAGCAAGCCCCACCTCCGCTCCCACCACCAGCTAGAATCATACATATGATTACGGGAGGCCTTGAAGCAGGAGGACTGAGCTCTAAACAGCGAAAGCTGTATGTCAGAGAGTTTAAGCATCAAAACCGAGCTCAGAAGCGGAAGATTGACGATGCTGAGTGGAAGAATCAACCCATTACTTTCACATCTGCTGACCTCGACACTGTCGTTACACCCCACAATGATCCTCTGGTCACTTCTGTCATGATTAATAACTGTGAAGTACAGCGTATCCTTGTTGACACCGGGAGTGCACCAGACATCATGTACTTCCACTGTTTCAAGAGTCTGGGTTTAGATCCAGCATTGTTGCAGAAATATGATGGTCCTATCTATGGTTTCAACAACCAACCTGTCCCGGTAGAAGGCGTTCTTACCCTTCATGTGGCTTTTGGGAGTGGCCGGACCTATGTAACCCCTTCAGTCCGTTTCCTCGTCGTCAAGATGGCGTCCTCTTTCAACATTGTTATTGGCCGACCCACATTGACTGAAATCCGAGCTGTGGTTTCCTAATCCCACCTCTGCATGAAATTCCCCACTCCCATGGGCATAGCAACACTACGAGGAAACCAGGAGGTGGCCAGACACTGTTACATCACCTCGGTCACACAACCAACGAAGGGCAAAGATAAGACACCCGAGGTCATTCCTCAGAGAATCCCTGATAATCAGCAAGTTATGGGAGTAGAGATTGTTGATAATCGACCGGATGATGAAGCCAGAGCTGCTTCGGTCGAAGATGTTGAAGAAGTGCTCGTCGATGACAGAGATCCGAACCGAAAGACGCAGATCGGAACTAGATTGAACTCGGAGGAGAGAGCAGAACTGATAGCTTTTCTCCGAGCTAATAATGATGTATTTGCATGGACTTCGGCCGATATGCCAAGAATTCCAACTTCAGTATGTCAACATAAGCTCATTACCAACCCATTGAAGAAACCAGTGGCCCAGAAGCGGCGTCTCTTCGGGGGGGAGAGGCTCCAGACTATCAAAGAAGAAGTGGAAAAGCTCCTACAGGCTGGTTTTGTCAGGAAAGTTGATTACTGTGAATGGGTGGCTAACCCAGTTCTGGTGAAGAAGGCAAATGGTAAATGGCGAATGTGCATTGATTACACAAACCTTAACAACGTCTGCCCCAAGGATTGCTATCCGATGCCGAGCATTGACAAATTAGTCGAAGCGGCTTCAGGTAATGAGAGGTTAAGCCTCTTGGACGCATATTCTGGGTATCACCAGGTGCCGATGGCTCCCGAAGACGAAGAAAAGACCTCGTTCTATGCTGGCGATGAAATTTATTGCTATGTCATGATGCCGTTTGGCTTAAAGAACGCCGGTGCTACTTATCAAAAAATGGTAACCATAGTCTTCTGAGCTCAGATCGGTAAGAATCTGGAGGTGTATGTGGATGACATTGTGGTAAAGAGTCTGAAGGCAGAAAACCATCTAGCCGACCTCGATGAAACCTTTAACAACCTCATAAAGAACAGGATGCAGTTAAATCCAACCAAATGTATCTTCGGAGTGGAGTCTGGAAAGTTTTTAGGTTTCATGGTGTCCCGAAGAGGGATTGAGGTCAATCCAGAGAAGATCAGAGCAATTGCCGAGATGGAACCACCGAAGTCAGTTAAAGATATACAGAGGTTGACTGGAAGGGTAGCAGCTCT